CTAAACAAAGCATTGAGAATAGATTCTAGTGAAAAATAAAAAACATCAGGATCAGTTGGGGTTTGTTTCAGAAAGGCTTTTTGAAATTCATGATATTTATAATTTCAGTCAGTATTTGCTGAGAGCAATGAATTCAAATGAATGAAATTCCGCCAACATTCACTTTTCCAGGGTGAGGTGATAGACAAAATTATCATAGGGAAATGCCGTCAAGTAGTATAAATAATCAGTACTTTGCGTGAGTTCATCCATCCAGAAGTCATACCAAAAAAGTGGTTGCTGGTTTGTACGCACACCCCCACACCCACACACATTTATATAGTGCTAGAAGACTGACCCATAGTAAGCAGTGGACAAAGGCTAGCTATTACTATTAGGTAGGCAAGTCAGATTTTGGAGTTTATGGGCCTTAGACATACTTGTGGGGAAGAGCAGCTCTCCTGCCTTTCTGGTTTGGCAGCATATCCGCCAATCTTCCCTCACCATGCTTGCCTACTACCAACTCCTTCTCTGTCCTCTAAACCCACATAGGAGCTCCATTTAATACAGATTCTCTAGGCCCTGTTCTTTTCCTGCTCCATGTGGTCTGTCCTGCACCTCTGAGAGAAGCTGCAGAAACCCAGCCACAGTGTCCACAAAGGAGGGGAAGCAGCCTGTGACTTTGTGTCCTCTGCCCTCTCATGCTTTTACTGCTTCTGAGAGTCTCCATGTCATGCCCTTTAGCCTAAGCTGGGTATTTTTCTCCATTTCCAAATGAGAGAAAAGAGATGCAAAGACTAATGTGGGTGTGGATGGGAGGAGGGAGGAAGTTGAAACTTAGGGGCTGGAGCTCCCTCTCATTGTTCCTTTCATTCAGCTCCACATGTGTCCTCCCAAGTGGGTGAACCACAGCTGTCCACCTCCAGAAGGAGGACTCACAATCACAGGTCACAAGCTTTCTATACAGAGTCTACCATTTTGTGGTCTGTGGTCAGGCTTCTAATTTGTTAATCTTCATATTTACCTGAGGGACATGAAGGAGGATGGGTCAACGTTCTTACCCTTTATCAGTTAGATTAAGTTAGGCTGGGCTGTGGAACAACCAACCCCTGGTGCCTTAATGAAATGAAAATTATTTCTTATTCATACGAGTGTGTAATAGGTTTGAGTGATTCTTTAGAGCAGCTGCCCTCCATGATGACTTAGGTAATTAGAGTGCTTTTATATTGGATTCTCCAATCTCAACACAAGGCTGTCTTGGTTGACTTGGTAGGGGAAGAGAGGAGCCAGTCATTGGTAGTGAAATTCTTTGACCAAGAACCTTTTGCTGTCTGCCCATTACCCAGAACTAGTCACACAGCTCTTGGAGACAGGAAGTATAATTTTTCTTGCACCTAGGAATGAGGATGAACACAAGTGGTATCTTTCACATTTTTCTTTTACTTTATCTTCTTTTACTTTATCTGTCACCAGCTCCCAGCTCCCAGGGAGCAGAAATTAATTTTTTGACTGGCCAAATGCCAGAGCACTGATCAAGGGCATGTCTACTAAGGATGGGACACCACCATATATTAAAAAGTTACACATTTACATTAAATTAAATTTAATTAAAAACTTGCTTATAGACTACTTTGATGAAAATGAAGTCTTGTTCTCCTAAAGTATCAAACACATTTTCTTCCCACTCCTTTTTGGCAGAAGATCTTGCCTGGTTTTCAAATGAGTGCACTGAAGGCGTCCAGCTGGAACTCCCTCATCCCCCTTTTCTCACCCCTAATCTTCCCATGTTCATTCTTTTATCTGAACAAGTGTTCCTTTTCAGTGCCAAGCCTGACACTCTCTCTGTCTTAGCCTGTTTGTGTTACTATGACAAAATAAGACTGGGTAATTTATAAAGAACAGAAATTTGCTTCTCAGAGCTTTGAGATCAAATTGCTGGCAGGTTTGGTGTCCGGTGAGGGCCCACCTCTGCTTCCAAGATGTTGCCCTGTTGCTGTGTGCTCACAAAGAGCACACAGGGTAAAGGGTAAAGGGTAAAATTGCCTCGTTAGTTCCCTCTAGTCTAGGGTGACCAGACGTCCCGCTTTTCGACAATTTGTCCCACAGCATTTTAAAAAAGTCCCGATTTTTGGAAAGAATGCACAAATGGGCGGGAGAACAAGAAGGGAATATACGGCTTTCGGCTGCCATGTGGCTATTTCGCCAGAACATGAGTTTTATATTATTTTTGTTAATTTTATAATGTTAAACTTTAATAATAACAAATTATTGCTGAGAAGTGATTATCGAGAACTGCTTATCAAAGTTTGCATTGTTGTCAAGCCCTGCCCTGCCCCACCCCCACCCTACCCTCTGGCCACGTTGTCCTGCCTTACCGATGTTAAAATCTGGTCACTCTACTCTAGTCCTTTCATAAGATTCTCTAAGACTCTGCCCAAATGATTTAATTTAATCACCCCCTAAATGCCCTGTATTTTAATGCTATCACTTCGGTGATTACATTTCAACACAGGAATTTTGGGAGATATTCAAACTATAGCACTCTGGTTTTTTTTTTTTTTTTTGAGACAGGGTGTCATTCTGTTGCCCAGGCTGGAATGCAGTGGTGTTATTATAGCTCACTGCAACCTCAAACTCCTGGGCTCAAATATTCCTCCTGCCTCAGTCTCCTTAGTAGTTGGGACTAAAGGTGCCATGCCCGACTAATTTTTTTATTTTTGGTAGAGCTGGGATCTTGTTCTTGCTCACACTGGTCTCGAACTTCTGGCTTCAAGCAACCACCCATCTTGGGCTACCAAAGTGCTGAGATTATAAGCATGAGCTGCCATTCTAATTCTTTGGATTTGGTTCAGCATTTTGGAAGAAATGTCCCCTTTCTTCTTTTTATCCTCATTTTCTCCTGTCTGTTGATGTCTTTCACTTGACTCAGAAACTTAAGGTCTTTCCTACCTTAAACTATCTTCCCCTACTATGCAATAGAACAGTGATTTTCAACTGCTATGCCACCAAAATTTTAAAGACTATTAATTAAATTAAATTATATTTATTTATTTATTTATTTATTTTTTGAGACAGAGTATCACTATGTCACCCTTGGTAGAGTGCTGTGGCATCACAACTCACAGCAACCTCAAACTCTAGGGCTTAAGTGATTCTCTTGCCTCAGCCTCCCAAGTAGCTGGGACTACAGGCGCCCGCCACTTTGCTGGGTTTTTTTTTTGTTGCAGTTGTCATTGTTTTTTAGCAGGCCCAGGCTGGGCTCAAACCTGCCAGCCCTGGTGTATGTGGCTGGCGCCATAACCACTGAGCTATGGGTGCTGAGTCTAATTAAATTAATTTTGAAAGAAGTTCAAAGCACAGTGTTTTTTATTTTATTGTATTTTTATTTTTGGAGATAGTGTCTTACTTCATCACCCTTGGTAGAGTGCTGTGGCATCATAACTCACAGCAACCTCAAACTCTTGGGCTCAATTGATCTTCCCATTTCAGTCTCCTGAGTAGCTGGGACTACAGTTACCCACCACGATGCCTGGCTCATTTTTCTATTTTTAGTAGAGATGGGGTCTCACTCTTGCTCAGACTGGTCTTGAACTCCTGAACTCGAGTGAGTCTCCCACTTCAGGCTCCCAGAATGCTAGGATTAGAGGCATGAGCCACTGTGCCTGGCCTTACTCTTTTTTTTTTCTTTTGATCAACATAATTTAAGCGTGCCTCAGAAGTTTAACTATAGGTTCAAGTGTGCCATGGGATAAAAAGGGTTGAAAACACTGCAGTAGAACATCAGAACTCATTCCTCCCATCTACCTCTGACTTTGTCCCATTACCAACTTCTTCCTCTCCCAACCACTCTCTCCTCTCAGCCTCTGATAACCACTCTCTTATTTCTACAAGACAAACTTTTTCTGATTCCACATATGAGTGAGATCATGTCTATTTGTCTTTCTGTGTCTGGCTTATTTCACTTAACATAATGTCCTCCAGGTTCATCCATGTTGTTGCAAATGACAGGATTTTGTTCTTTTTTTAGGACTGAATCATATTCCATTGTGAATATGTACCACATTGTCTTTGGTAATACTGTATATTTCCAAATACCTAACAAAGAGGAGTTTGAATGTTTTTACCAGTGACTGAAGTGGTGGATATACTAAATATCTTGATTTGATCACTACACAGTGTGTACATGTGCATCACACTGTACCCTATACATTTGTACAATTATTATGTGTTAATGACAAATAAAACAAAAAAGCATTTTGCCCTTAGTTGCTGCTTTTCTCCCAAATGAGAGTCCCACCTTTCCCCTTATTTTCACTTTCAAAATTCTTGAAAGACTGTTTCTATCTGTTCTTATTTTCTGATTTCTAATTCACTTTTTAGTCTTCTGACACATGGTTTTCACCTTCACCCCCTCTGTCCTGTTGAAGGTTACTAGTGCTCCACTAATTATAAAACACAATAATGCTCTCTCATATTGTATCCTGGTGAACATTTTTGTGGTATTTTATTTCTTTGAGAATCCTATCTCTAAGTTATTTTTCTTTTCGTTTTGTGGTCCTTTTAGCTCATGGGCAATTGTACCCTCCAAGTACTCTCTAACTTTTCTATTTCCTTCCTGATAGTCCCTTTCCTTACTCCTCTTAAGGCTTGAGAATGCTGCCCACTTCCTTTTTAATTCACACGCTCTCCATCGGCAAATCCAGCACCTCGTAGGAAGGGAAACCTAGTGGTCCGAACAGGCCAGGGACAGGGCTAACTGAGGACGGTGGGATACATGATAAATAATCTGACCAGTTCTTCTAGGGCCCTATACGATACAGAATATTTTTTTCCTTCTTTTCCCAGCCCATTTTTTTGTATACCTAAATTACTGTCAGTGATTCTGTAGTTGACAATTCTTGAGTGGTTTAACACAACCTTATGAAAGTATTCTACCTGGTACCTCATGATGAAAACTCTCCTATCTTGATTGGTTATCAGTCTGAGGAGTTTCCAATCCTGGGGAAGCCAGAAAAATATCTATTTATACTCCTAATGCATATGATTTGGCTGCATTGTGCGAGGGAAGGCCTCGTCTGAAGAGGTGGATGATTTTATTATCTCATTTCTTTCTCTCTCCAGAATGCATTCTGGCTGCATCCCCTGCATGGTGGCTCTGCTACTGAATTTGATTGGGCTGGGCTCCTCCCTGACTCAAGGCACAGACTCTCCAGGTAAGAACACAGCAACATTTTGGGTCTGTGTGTGTGTGCGTGCGCAAGAACTGGCATGGGGAAAAGATGCCTTTCCCAATAGGTCCAGGCCACAGACCAGACTGGAAGTGGCTTCTAGCTTCAAAGAGCAGTGCTCTTCCCTTTGGCAGAAAAATACTCCTTCCCTTTTCACCACATGCAGACCCTTCTGGGAGCAGGGACTTCCTGTACTAGAGCCAGGGAGGTGGGAAAAAGGGAAACATTTGGGGTTCTTATCAATGTCAGTTGGGAGGACTGTAAAAGCTGGAGGCAGTCTGAGAATAGCTATAATACCATTCTTCAGCTAGGGATTTACTCTGACGATTGACCATTTCTGTGTGTATCCACTGGGGGTGGTCTATGTGGACAAATGAAATTGGAGACAAAGTTTTCTTCTTCTGCCATTTATTAGATAGTCAGAATTGCCCTAAATGGTTTTGAGAAGAGAAATGAATGCCTTATCCTTGTCCTCAGGATACACATTATTTGTTACTGTTATTTTTCTAGCTGAGGAGACAGGCTATTCAAACATGAAAGCGCGTATTACAGGATGTAGTGCGCCAAGAACAGAACCCTCTTTGCATGCCAGTTTCATTAAATTCAAAAGAGGAACAAACTTGAGGAGTGGGGTGGATCCTTGTTTTTTAGAGAATAGAAACTACTGAGTTTATAATGCCCATTAAACAACATGATTGAAAAAAAAAGATCACCACAAATTTTAAATGATGATGGATAATTCAGGCTCTAAGAGGAAACAGAGAAGAACGTAAATGCTGAGGAATTGGAGGTTGGCACCTCACCTGAATTTAGGTTCTGAGTGAGAGGTGAGTGTCCTGACCTGGGAGGGTCATCCTTCTCTCAGCAAAGCAGTCCCTGGAGGAGGCCCCTGAAGTCAGAAATGAAATGAAATTTACAGTTTACAAAGACCAATAGCAATTAACCTCCCAGGCTCAATTGGAATGCCATTTCTTTCTTTCTTTCTTTTTTTTTTTTTTGGAGACAGAGTTTCACTTGGTCTCCCTGGGGTTGAGTGTTATGGTGTCATACCTCACAGCAACCTCAAACTCTTAGACTCAAGCAATTCTCTTGCCTCAGTCTCCCAAGTAGCTGGGACAACAGGCACCCACCACAATGCCTGGCTGTTTATAGAGACTGGGTTTTGCTCTGGCTCAGGCTGCTCTCCAGCCATGAGCTCAAGCAATCCACCTGCCTTGGCCCCTCAGAGGATTACAGGCATGAGCCACTGCGTCTGGCCTGGGAGTGTCATTTCTTCTGGTCTTTCCTGACCTACCTACATTATTAACTCCATTCGAATATCCCTTTATTGTGGTGGTTGTTTTCAGGTGCATAGAATTGGGTTAATCCCACCCAGGAGATTACAGCAAGCTGTAATCATCTCTCAGTTCAAGGGCTCTCTCCTATTCCCTTGTCAACACTCTCATTCTCTCCTCTCCTTCGATAATTCATTCTAAATGTGTCTGGTATGTCTTTATGTACAAAGGTGGCCTTTAAAAATATGTACCATTGTTTTTCTGTGTGTATTTAACATTTTTTTTGTATTTTAAAAATTCAATAAATGTCACTGTGCATTGAATTGCATTCTGTTTGCTTACTTAACCCCGAGTTTTTGGGCATACAGAGGCCAACACGCCTCTTCCTCAAATCTGTGTGTTCTGCCATCATTCCCCAGGTTTTCCCAGGGGTGGGGGATGGTTCACAATCTTTCTTTTGGTTTTCCAGAAGATTTTGTGATTCAGGCAAAGGCTGACTGTTACTTCACCAATGGGACAGAAAAGGTGCAGTTTGTAGTGAGATTCATCTATAACCTGGAGGAGTACGCACGTTTCGACAGTGATGTGGGGATGTTTGTGGCCCTGACGGTGCTGGGGGAGCCTGATGCCAAGCGGTGGAATAGTCGGCCCGATATACTGGAGACGAGCAGGGCGTCGGTGGACGCGCTCTGCAGACACAACTACAGGCTGGGCGCGCCCTTCACTGTGGGGAGAAAAGGTGAGCTGCAAGGCGGGCTCTGATGGGCTTCAGGAGTGTCCCCCATGTGAACCTGGCTGTGGCCCTTCTTCCTTATAAGAAGCAATTTTCTGCTTCAGGATAAATGGATTATGAGCAGGTGTATATGTTCTGTTTCCAAGTACAAGTCAGTTGTTACCCTCAGGGTCAGATCATTGGGATCTTGTTCCCAGACCCCCAAGGCTGCAGGGACTTTGAAGACTGGAATACTCTCAAATAGAAGTGGCAATTGTGATAGTACCTCATAAAGTATAAGTCCTCCTTACAGGCACTGATGTAACCTGTTTCTGAGTCATGGGGCTGAGATTTCTTTATACTTCCAGATTCCACTTGGCTGATATGGGAAAGAGACTAGGGGTAGTGATAGCCCCTAAAGAAATCCCTATCCCGGCTTGGTGGCTTCTCTTTACAGTGTCTCACTTTCCTCTCCCTTCCTAGTACAACCAGAGGTGACAGTGTACCCAGAGAGGACCCCATCCCTGCAGCAGCACAACCTGCTGCTCTGCTCTGTGACTGGCTTCTATCCTGGGGACATCAACATCAGGTGGCTCCGGAATGGGCAGGAGGAGCGAGCTGGGGTCTTGTCCACTGACCTTATCAGGAACGGAGATTGGACCTTTCAGACTGTGGTGATGCTGGAAATGACTCCTGAACTTGGAGATGTCTATACCTGCCTTGTTGATCATCCCAGCCTGCCGAGCCCTGTGTCTGTGGAGTGGAGTGAGAATTAGTTTCTTGTACTCTCTGGCCCTGACTCGGGACTATGCTGACTCAGTTTAGATCCTGTGTCACCTCCGCATTCATCTTGGTACAACATGAATTTTTCTTTCCCTTGATCTGGGAGAGTCACAGAAATTGGAGTCCTTGGGTTAGTGTGGGAGAAAGCATGGCAGATATCTGTTCTCATATCTTCTGAGGAATGAGGAGGTCTACTCCCCTCCTTACATGCTGCCAACCCTGTGACTTGGTTTTTCTAATACTTTGGTCTTCTTATTTAGGGGGCATTCTTATGAGCACTTAAGAATCAGTAAGAAGTGGGCAGCTCCTCTATGAGTGCAAACTTTGGCCTCAGAGAACCGTTGCTAAGTCTATTCTTTCTGTAGATAGCATTAGATTTTGCATCCAGTGCAGAGTCTGGGGTTTCAAGAAGGTGCACTAAATAGTGGGGAGATTTTTATTAACTTTAGCACCTGTCTCCTGTAGGCGCTCAGTCTGATTATCCCTGGAGAAAGGTGCTAAGTGGAGCTGCTGCCTTCCTGCTGGGGCTGGTCGTCTTTCTGGTGGGGATCGTCATCCACCTCAGGGCTCAGAAAGGTAAAGTGCTTCTGAGGAGCACCCAGCCTCCTACTCCCTGGCTCTCCCACTTCCCACCTTCCCTAACATCAAAGAGCTGAAGCAAGAGAGCTGACTGTACTTCTCAAGGGCCACAGGAATAATGTTTTCAGATGCCAGAGCATTCCCAGCGCTAAGCAGAGATGGAATTCTGAGATTTCTGGCCATCCCTCATTCCTCAGGGCAATCACAACGTTTGGTCCTAATTTGAGGCAATTCATTCTTCTTTTGATTTTTTCCAGGTTATATGGAGATACAGAAGTCTGGTGATGAGGTAATGTCTCTTTCCTGGTCTTTGGGTGGCAGAACATTCTCTTGTTTCTTTGGTTGGTGGGAGACACTGTGGGGTTAAGGAGGCATAAGGTTGATTCTAGCTCGGTTGTACTATTTCCTGAGTCCCTGGAATGAGAGGGTCAGGCTGCCTTCTGACCCTTCATCACTGTCCCTGCAGGTGTCAAGAGCTGTTCTCTTCCCACAGCCACACTAAGGTTCTCACTGAAGCTTCTCACCCTGGAGCTTGAAGTAGTAGCAAGTGGCTTGAGTCTGAGGTGAGGTAAAGGACATTGATGAGGCCAGCGTTCTTGGGGTGACTCTTTCCTGTGATCCTCAGAGGGATCCCCAACCAATTCTAGAGTTTTGTGTTCTGAGATGATGAATCTCCCACCCATGTGCCCTTCATCCTACTCGTATACATCATTAATCCCTATTGCCGAGAGCACCGTCCTCTAAGACCTAATACCTTCCAGCCTCAAAGCATATACTTTTACTTTTCTGTGGTCCAGCTGTAACCCTGTAAATCATGCTACTAAATCTTTCTCTTTCCAACTGCAATCTCTGCAGTTTTCAAAAGACAAATGCTCAGTCACTTGTTTCCTTTTCATTGTTTTAAAGAAACTTTTTATTATAAAATAAAACAGAGATACAGATAACCACACAGAATATGCAATTTAATGAATTGTTTAAGGCAGAACCCCTGTAACCACCACTCAGGTCAAGAAACAGAACTTTGCCAGTAACAGCCAGAGCCTTCATGTGCCTCAGGCCGATCAAAACCTGTCCCTCCCCTCAAAAGTAATTGCAGAGGACTCTGGAGGTAACTCCGCTATTGTATTTCTTTGTATTCTATCATCAAGTATGCCTTCCTGGACACTATAGCCTGGTTGTCTTTTATGTCCCTTATGCTTCACAGGTCTCTCCCTCATCCTTTTTTCTTCCTTATGATTTATCTGTGGAAAAGCTTTTTGAGCTGTAGAATTTCCCACACTCTAGATTTTGCTGACTGCATACACACAGTATAGTGGGATTTGTCCCATGTCTTCTGCATTTCATGCAAATTGTCACCTAAATACAGAGGCTGGATCAGACTCTGGTTTGGTCATTTTGGAAAATCTGTAGGTAGTGTTATAGTTTTTCACCATGAGATGCATAATGTCAGCTGTTTCTCTTTTGGTTTGCTGGTAACCACTGATGCTCATTGTCTCATTCTTTGAATTTAATGGGGAATGCAAAATGGTAATAGTCTAATTCTACCATTCTTTCTTCATTTATTTGCTTTATTACCTCTATAGAGAGACACTTCCTTTCATTTACTAGTGTAGTAGTTCTCAACCTTCCTAAGGCCGTGGCCCTTTAATACAGTTTCTCATGTTATAGTGACCCCAAATCATAAAATTATTTTCATTACTACTTCATAACTGTAATTTTGCTACTGTTATGAATCATAATGTAAATATCTGATATGTAGGATGTATTTTCATTCTTCGTGATCCACAGGTTGAGAGCCGCTGTACTAGTGGGTTACCCACTGGTAATGTGGAAAGGCAGGATCAATCTTTAACTCTCCTTTTATTTACCAGTTGCTTAGAAAAAACTCAGACATAACATCTGCTCTTACATAACAGTGATCATTAACGCAGAAGTTCTGTGAACAAATGCAGGGATTTTTTTTTTCCTCCACACACAAAACAGCAGATACCATGGGTATCTTCTAATTCAATTCCAACACTATCAACCTGCTTCATTTGCTGCATAGATCTGGAATTAGCCATTTCCCCCCCCCCAGAAGTCCCTGGTTTATTTTAGAGGGAAATGTCATTTAAGACTGTCCCCACCCCACTTTCAGATACCTATTACAAGTATCTGGGCCTCTGGAAATTCTGAGCTACCAGTTTCAAGTTGGGGTTCTCATAACACCCTCTTTGGGTTTGATCAATATTTTTGTGTGGCTTCAAGAACTCAGAGAAATGTTACATTTTCTAGTTTATTACAAAGGCTACAGAAGAAGAGATGTGTAGGGCAAGGTAGAGGGGAAGGGATTTGGAGCTTCCATGCCCTCCCTAGGTGCACCACCCTCCAAGATCCTTCACATGCTCAGCTATTTGGAAGCTCTCTGAAGCCAGTCCTCAGTTTTTAGGGACAACTCTGTCAAAATGTGACTAGCCTCCAAAGTATGGGGCAGGAACCTCTCTAGAATGAGGACTGTATTAGCTGCAATCAGAAGGGTGGAGGAAGTTTGGAGACCTGCTTCTGTGCAGGTGAAAGGAAGGCAGAAGAAGGTCAGAGAGAGTCTGTCTCCTGAGGCCTAAGGCACCCATCATTATACAGAAGACTGGCAAGGGCTATGAGAATTATAAGCCAGAAACTGTGGGAGGAACCAATGTAAATCATAATGCCATGGGAGTTTTCAAGTTAGTGCATTGGTTTCCTACTATAATCCACAAGACTTTACTTTTCTTTTTTATGTTATCAATGTATAATAAACAGAAGGATTTAAGTATACTTGATGGGTTTTGATGTGTTGGGGTTTTTATCCTTGTCCAAGATAAAATTTCTCCAAGTGGCTACTTGAAGTTTCCACTTGCCAAAAATGAAACCAAATTCCTTTGACACAGGCTTTTGATAGTTTCTTTGTTATCTGGTATGACAAGGCATTTCTGGGTCATCCTGTGCATTATCTACCTAGATCTGGACCAGCCATTTATTCCAGAAATCCCTGGTTTATTTTAGAGGGAAATGTCACGTAAGATCATAATCCAGAGTTAGGGTGCTTCATATAGTGCCCCAAATTATCACAAGATGGGACAGTTAGGATTCCAAAGAAAGAAGCACTAAACTCCAGGGTGACTGGTCCACAGCATTTATTAGGGGAACTTATTCATAGAGTGGAATGCTGAGTCATAGCCTCAGATAGCGAGAGAAAAAAGGGATGCTTTCCCTAGGAGGGTCCACGGCCAGGGAGCCAGGGTATAGAGTGTATGTGAGAGTTTAGGAAGTTTGGCTCAGGGCTGGGACCAGTTTCTTTCCACATTTTGGGTAACAACTTAGATACCTTTACCAGTGTCTGGGAATGTTCAAGACCAGCTTTGGGTTGAAGCCTGCTGGGAAAAATCCACAGCTGGCTGGGTCACAGAGGGAGTCAGGGTACTCTGATTTTTCAATCCAGACATAGAAAAAAATCAGGGGTTGGGAGGACTTTAGGGGACCATAGGAATTGGTCCTTGTGTCAGACCTTTTGATTGGAAATAAAAATATAACATTTATATATGTACAAATTTTAAACGAGTTAATCTCTTCTATATTACATCTGCATCTCCTTTCTTTTCTACCAAGAATTCTGGTTTTCAGTGACACAGGGACAGAATTAGAAAGTCCATACTCATGCCTTTGTTTTTCCTAAATTAACATCCACAGCAGTCTAAGGATCACAACACTCCTACTACCAACAAAATGATTACTGAAAATAGTTGAGTTGTTTTTAGCCTTTGTTCTCCCTGTAATTCCTCCTTTCATAGTTGAACTATACCTACATTAGTGGATCCTATACCGTTACATAGACTGCTTGGTCCCTTTTTACTCTTAGTCTTGTGAGTAGTGGTACCTTCTATGCTCACCATCATTTCTTATGCTGATGTCTCTGTTGTGCAGTGGTTTTCAAGGCTTGGTCCATGGACCTCTGTGGGCCTCTGGGATCCTTCCAAGAGGTCTGTGAGATCAAACTAATTTTGTATCAATACTAAGATATTGAGGTTGAGCGTGGTGGCTCATGCCTGTAATTCTAGCACTCTGGAAGGCTGAGGTGGATGGATTGCCTGAGCTCACAGGTTCGAGACCAGCCTCAACCAGAGTGAGACCCTGTCTCTAAAAATAGCCCGGCATTGTGGCAGGCACCTGTAGTCCCAGCTACTTGGGAGGCTGAGGCAAGAGAATCACTTGAGCCCAAGAGTTTGAGGTTGCTGTGAGCCATGACACTCTACTGAGGGCAACAAAGTGTCTCAAAACCCCTCCCAAACAAAATACTAAGATATTGCTGTTATTTTTTATTATTTTGAGACAGCGTCTCACTTTATCATCCTTGGTAGAGTGCCATGGTGTCACAGCTCACAGCAACCTCAAACTCTTGGGCTCAAGAGAGCCTCTTGCTTCAGTCTCTCAAGTAGCTGGGACTATAAGCACCCGCCACAACACCTGGTTATATTTTTAGAAACCAGTGATACCAAAGGGTCTCAATCTTAGTTGGGCTGGTTTCGAACTCATGAGCTCAAGCAATCCACCCCCACCTTGGCCTCCCAGAGTGTTGGGATTAGAGGCGTGAGCCACCATGCCAGGCCACTAAGATATTAATATTGTTCTTTTCTCTGTTGTTTGCATGGTGATACAAAACCTGCAGTGGGTAAACCTGTTAATGCCTTAGCATTAATCAAGGAAGTAACACCAAGCTGTGTGGGTAGTTGTATTCTGCACTGCCATGAAATGGCAATAAAAAAAAATCAATGGTTTTGATAAAATAATAAAAATTGTTAGTTTTACTAAATTTCAAACCCTTCTAATATTCACTGTAACAAAATATGCAAGTTTTCTGCTGCATATTGATGGAAAGGCAGTTGTCTTATGGAAAAACATTTTTATCATTGCTTGAGCTGTGAGTGGAGCTAGACATTTCTTTTTTAATGGATTATCATTTTCCTTGAAAGAATGACTGACAGACACATTATGGTTATTCAGATATGGTATTTGGTAGGCATTTTTTCAAAATGAACAAAATAAGCTCATCATATTAAGGAAAATGATATTGCTAGTGAAAATTAGAACTTCAAGAAAAAATTAAAATTTTGGAAAACTTGTGTTTGCCACAGCTTCCCGCTACTTAAAGATTTTTTTTGATGAGATTGGTGGTGATATTAACTGAATATTGTTTTTAAAATATTATTTAAGGAGCTGTGTTAACATTCTAAAGATCTATATAACCCTATGAATCAAAACTATATAAATGATCAATGCAAGATATTACAAAATCATACATGGATAAAAGATCAATTTAAAGTGCAATAAAGACCAGTGAATTTTAACTTAGCAGCATATGAAAATTTAATTGATAATGTTAGGTAGGGATGAGGCAGAAGGGGAACAGATGCTTTGTCTAGAGGTGTCCACTGAGAAACAGATGATGCTAGGAGATGCCTTGTCTATTAGGAGGAATAAATTGACCACAGGGGGTTCCCATGAAAGAACAGATGACATGTCAAGGGGGTTCCCAAGACTGACCTGCTATTTGATCTATAATAGAGGGTCTGCAATCAGAAATAGAGAGAGAAACCAAAAGTGGAGATATGATCAAAGGCTCAATAGGGGTTTTTTTAGAGCATGTACACAATGCTCTAAATCACCTACCCTCATTAGTATAGTAAAGGATATTGCCATGCCATCCGTGCCATGCCAATTTACAAATACTGTGGCAAGCCCTGGAAATGGCCTTACAATGATAGAAAAGGGAAGGGTTCCCAATTCTGGAATTCTCATCCTTTTCCAAGAAAGCACATAA